ATTTTAATGAAACTTGTGTTTACAAATATATAAAAAAATGGATGACTAACAATTTTACTGAAAAATAAAATAAAAATAAATTCCAATTAGTATTATTTCTGTTTGGAATACACCAGAGTATTTTGCTTACTGGAAATAGTAAATTTAATCCTTTTAGCTTTCAATGAAAGCTTCAAGAAAGCTTTATCATTTTTTAAAAATTAATCTAAACTTTAAGTATTGTGATTTTAGTGCAGGTACCCATGTAAAAGGATTTTCTTTTCTTTCCTTTTTTTTTTTTTTTTTTTTTTTTGCAATATATAATGTATCTTGCTTTTCCCAAACTTAAAATTGTTGCTGAAAGCAAGATTTCAAACCATTAAGGAGAATGCAAGAATGTGACTGAAAGTCTTTGCAGACTGTTTTGAAAAGTGGATGGGATACTGAACTGAGTGAGTGAGGTCCCAAGAGAAGTTCTTTGAAGGTGGCTCACTGCTTGGTAGGCTTCTTTTTATCAACCTTAAATAGATAAAACATTTCCAGACAGATTTCATCTACAGGCAGAAAATCTCACTCACTTTCATAATGCTTTATAGATAACATGGAAAAACATTGAAATATTATCAAAACTCACCTCAACTTATTGATATTGATTTCCTACAGATTTTCAGGCTTTTATATTGTGAAATCTTTTGATAATTTTTTAAACAATTTGTATATAATTCTTGAATATGACATTTCTGGAGATAGTTTTCATTTGAGCAGTTGAATGAAGTTTTCTTCAAGTGAGCAGAGTGGGGTTAAAATTTGTTGCTGGCAAATTGCTTAATCTTTATGAACTATATCATATTTTATTAGGTACCTCCATGAGATCGCTAAAAAAAGAGCATAGCATGATGAAAAAGATGCCAAACTTGACGAAAACAAAATTTTATCGTCTAAATATTTGTTTTTATTAAGAGGAAAGATCAAAGTATTTTTGGGGTATTTTTTTACATTTTTTAATCATTCCTAGCATGTCTGAAAGTTTCGTTAAAAATCTTGATTTTTTTTGAGTCAGCAAAATTGACAGATGCAACCATTTTTTTTCAATTTTATAAAAAAAAATGAAAATCTCAGTTTGAAATTCTTTTAAATATCAAATATCGTTTTTTCAAAACTTATTTTAAGAAAATCAGAAATTATAATGTTTATTTAAAATATTTTGAACCAAGCTTAACTTAGCTTCTGTGCTGAAAAGATGTAATTTGAAAATAAAACGAAGCAAGTCATAAACTTTCGTGTCACTCGGCAGGTGATGAATGTCATATTGACAGATTCCGTGAGGCTAATTTGTTCTACGGAAGGAGAAAAGTGAAATTATTTACATTTAAGTGAACAAATTATTTACCTCGTTATTTTTAAGGAAAACTTTCAGCGCTCTAATTTTTTTTGTTTTTTACGCTTAGCTTTCACCTTTACGTTTACAATGCTTTATGAAAAATATATTATAAAGAAATTAAGAGTTAGATTAAATTTCGTAAGAAAGGTATCTAATTAATTTATAGGTACCTTTCTTATGAAATTTTATCAGAAGTGTACATAAAATACTATAATTTTATGTACATTTACTACATTTTACTGTGTTATTTGTATTTCCATTCATTTTATTATTAATTTTGATATTTCATTTATGGAAAAAATGCCATAACTGAGATTAATATAAAAATAAGATTATATAAATTTCATAAGATGATACTGATACTTTTAGGTACCTTTCTCAGTTGAAATTGAAAAATCAAATAAACTTCACATGTGTTTCGCAAAAGTAAAGGCCTTAACTCAAATAACACAACTTAATTGTATTCTGGTTGGTCTTCCGTACTTTATAATTAGAGCCCGATTATAAACACAAAATTACATTTCTTAATTACTGCGGGTCTTCTGATTAGTCAAAATGATACAATTTACAACACGCTAAAAAAAAGATCTCTCATAAGGACACTTACAAAAGTGGATGTGGCTTTTAACTAATTTTATAATATTTTAACAACTTAAATGTAAAAATCTATTATAATTAAAAAACAACTAATAATTGTATTAAAAATTCATTTTTCATCGAAAAATTTTTTTGTTTTCAGAAAATATTGTCCATATTCATAAAAACAACTAAAGGCAAATAAAAACATTTGAAATTAAGTAATATATTTGTTTTATTGAGTTTTGTATGTTACAATTCAGAGCTGATTTTCAGGTAGTGGGGTCTAATTAAAAAAAACAAAAAAAAACATGATTTGCATTCCTCAAAGCTTTGTGTTTTTAACTATTGTAATTACTAAAGTGGAATTTCTAGAGTTTTCATAAAATTAGTTATTGGGGGGAGGGGTAATAAATATAAAAAAAAAACTATTTCTGCCATGACTTTAATAAAAGAAAACATATTTATAATAATTTTGATCATCTGTGAATAGTTTCTGAAAGTTTCATTAACATCCGACAATTAGTTTTATTTTTACAAGATTTTCCAAATTAATGTGTGTCATACAAAAAATGTGCTAAAAATTGTATATGTTATTTTACTAGTTCCAGTGATACAAAGAGAAACAAGGATTTTTAAATGAAAATTCAGATTGTTCTAAAAAGGAGGAAAAATTTTAAAAAGTAATTAAAATAAACTTTGATCTTTCCTCTTAATAATAACATAAACATTCAGACGATAAAATTTTCTTTTCGTCAAGTTTGGTGTCTTTTTCATAATGCTATGCTCTTTTTTTAGCGATCTTGTGGAGGTACCTATATAAATTAACTTTCCTGTTATTTAAAAAGGAAAAAAAATTCCTTGAGTTATTTAAAACTACCTGTTCAATATTGGCTTTGTTTTGTACTATGCTTTTTGTACATACTTGCCCTCTATTACAAATTCTATGTTTATATAGAGTAGGTATACCTTGTTTTAACAGACTATTGAAACTTTGTTTAATGAAGATATTTTAAATTATGTTTTGAAAACTTTGTTAAAATGTATTGAAAGTAAAATAAAAATAAAAAAAAAAGTATTTTTTTTTTTACTCTGATATTGGTTTATAAAATTGTTGTAATTCTACTTTCAGGATTATTTTAACAGATATTTACTAAAATTAGCTTAGTTTAGCACAAGCAATGGTCTATGAGGTTGACTTAATAAACATCACTTTATGGTAGGTGACCTTCAAACATACACAATATATTTTTGTTATAATTTTATAAGGTAAATTAAAAATTATTTTTATTGAACTTTGTCATGTGTACAATGGATTGCTGACAAAAATTTCAGTGTGAGCTACATTTCAAAATCTAACTGAATGATAAAACATTAATTTTTTTGAAAATCCTTTCTTGGCCAGACACATCCTCATATTTTAAGTACAAATAAACACATTTACTAATGTACATGTTTCTAACTAAAATTGTAACAAACTTAAAAGCTGAAGATATTTTTGTGTTTGTCTGTATCATCATTGTAAATCTTCCTGATACAAAACAAAGAGGATTCTTATTGTCACTGATTTATTTTAGCATATTAAGTTACTTGAGTTAGTGTGTGCTTTGTCTGATGGATGTGCCCATATAGAAAGGGTGTACTTTGTCTGATGGATGTGCCCATATAGATATTTCCTAAGTGCGGCTTAGTTTGGGTGCAAGGCACCATGGAACAGCCAATAAAGACTGAATTTACTACTAAGTCTTTTTTATCAGTAGCAACCAACTTGTTAACCATTACACCACAGCAAAGTGGGCCCATATAAGAAAGTGTAGTTATTACAACACCTACTTTATGGTGGGATAATTTCAGTGACACAGTTTTAAATAATTTAAAGATGTTTTTCATTTTTAACAATTCTTTAAAACTTTACCCTCATTTAAAAGTATATCATTAAGTACTTGTTAAATTGTACTTTAATGTAAAAACAGTGAATAAAAATTTTGCCTACAGTTGTTTATTACAAAAATCAGAAATTTAAAATGAATTTTTACATTTTGAAAATGGTTTCTAAATTTATGTGCTTACCATATCTTTGTAATGCTTTCAGAAATTGCTTTAAATAACAAGTCATAATTAAGATAAGGAGCAATGATTATTACTATAAGATTTATTTCAAATGTAAGAAATGTGATACAATATTAATTTACATGTATTCAGTTCACTACAGGGTTACTAATTAGCTGTGAACATAGTTATTCCAATGTGGAAAGGTGTTTTAATTTAACAAAGATGGCCTGTATTAGGCATTATGTTGTTATCCAAATTGCTTCATATATGGTTAGCTTTCAAATACATCAAAGTACATGTTGACCTTAAAGAATAATGTTCATAATTATGTCCTGAAATCAGAAGCTTTTTTTTTAATTGTGTGGTTAAAGATAGAAGAAAACTCTAGGTAAGGATAGGGTAGAATTTCAATATTTTTCTTTTTTCTTAGAAAATTTTTTTTAAAAATTCATAAGATCCAGGCATGGTGGCTTTACATATTAGACAACGCGATACACGAATTTATCTTTGTCAATAACTAGAAGGCAAGTAATATGAAATGATTTAAATGAAAAAAACAATCACTCGATTAAAAAATAAAAACCAAATTCATCAGAGAAATATTTATTTACAAATTTATCATCATACCTTTTCATATTTAATAAGAAAAATGGTTGAAATCAGTAAATTAAAACTTAAATATTGAGATTTTTACTCCCTTGAATAATTATGTAATCAAAGTATCAAATTATTGTCTGCACATAAATAGTGTAAAAAAATTATCAAGGCTAGCTATATTGGTTTTAATGTAATGTTTGTTTTTAGTGCTGGTTGTGTAAAATGCCATTAAGTCCTCTAAACTTTTGGCTCTCACATAACATTCAATATTCCACAACCTGTTTTCATTAATGATAAAGAAAATAACTATTTCTTGCAAATTGAAGACTAATATTACTAATTAGGTATTTTGTTTTGACTTTGAGATTGTAAGATGAACATTTTTTTTTTTTTTTTTTTTTTCCCAATTCTTCAGTATATGAGATGGAGAGTGAGAAAGATGGTTTGCTGGAGAACCAGTACACAAGAAATGATGGCAAAACATATCAGACACCAAAAGGTGAGTTGTGTTTTTTTTTTTTTTTTTTCTTTTTTTTGCAGCTGGACATAACATTGGATAAGAAGATACTGATGTCACTTTGTCAGATTTCCTTCTCCCTTTTTCTTTATAAGGGCTTATATTCAATTTTGGTTGGAGTAATTATTAACAATATTTTTATTATTATTTCACAAGATAATTATGTTCTAATAGATTTACTAATTTCTTAAAAAGAATACAAAACTTCATGCTGAATTATTTCTGGTTGGAAATTGTCTGCAAATAGTTGATGTATAGTAAAAAAAAATACTGTTAGTGAAAATAGTATGCTAAGATATAACCTATGATATACTGCTTAAAAGAGCTTTTTTAATATAGTATTCTTTTAATTCCAATGTAAATTTACTTAGTATTGTTATATTTAAAATATGATGAGTATTTGAATTAGTAAAAATATGAAATATTTATAAAGTATATTCAGTGTGATTTTTTTTCATTTTCTTCAAGTGAATCTCATCCTTCACTAACAACTTTTGTTAGTTATTCACTAATTTACTTATTAAGCATTTGCAATTGTGTATTGGATATAGTTTTTGGTTTGTGTTTTATCTAAAGAATTTTTTAAAGCTCTTGTCTTATGTCAGCTTATTAAGATATAAATCAGTGGTTTTTAATAAGGGAAAATATGATTATCTATTTAAATTTTTACTGATAGGGAATTAGCCTCCAATTCCTTTCTTAAAAGTTAATTTTTTTTTTAAAATACAGATATAATTTAATAAAAGAATTATCTCTTTTTGTTTTGTTTATATAGTTCCATAGTTATCTTGAGTTTGGTCAAAAGTAAATTTTCATGGCATCATCATTTTTTTTTTTTTTTTTTTTTTCAGACTCTCACTAAAGGTAAAAAAAAAAATGCCTAATTGACAGATCTTAATGATTTTTTTTGCAAATTTGACTTGAGCGTATTTTTTTCTCCATAGGGAAATATTTTTTCTGCTACAATTTTCATAGTAATTTTTAAATTTCAGTATAACTTGCTTAATTCATTTTATTATACAATTTCAAAATAGTTATTTACCATATCTAAAGCATTATTTAATTTTATATGGGACCATGAATATTGGAGGGTTTTTTTTTGTTTCTTTACTGACAAATTAATTAAAAAACTTATTTGCTGTCTGTTGAAAAAATGGTTATAAAAAGACATTATTGCTTTGATTGATTTTCAAAATTTTCTATTGAAATCTATTAACCATCTAAAAATATCAAATTCAAGAATAAATGGATGATATACATTTAAAAGATGTTAATTTAGACATATTTGCCATAAATTGAGAATTTCAAAATATCAAATTCAGAGGATGATATACATTTAAAAGTATTGACATATATGAGAGTTTAAAAGTATACATGATAAACAATTTGAGGACATGTCAGAAACAAATGCATAATACTTTCTTGCAGTTGGATTGTTAATATTGAAATGCACTTTTTTTTCTTTTTTTCTTTCTTTTTGGCATAGGTTATATGACAGATAAAATTCCTATGCTAAACAAAAATTCAACTTTTTTTTATCCTCTTTTATCAGAAAGAATATCTTAAGTGGCCATTAATTTTGTATTGTTTCTGAATTCAAGAACTGTTGATAGAAATATTTTAATATTTGAAGTTTTATGAGGAAAAAAATTGATGACAATTTATGTGTAATTTCTTGAAATATTTATTAATGATTAACATTTTTCAAGTTTTTTCTATAGAGTTAATGCTTTAAATTCAATTGAAAGTACCTTTAAATAGAAAAAAGTGATTCTTATGTTTAAAAAAAATTAACATTTTCAAGTCATTTTAACAGCTTGACATATTAGCAAGTTCTTCAAAGATAAGAGAACTGTCAAATTATGAATTTAAGTAGTGCTTATCTTGGATTGTTAAGCACTATACATTTAGTATATATTCCTAATATATTAATATTTATTTATTCATAAACTTTGTATTGTTGCTGGATAGAATAAATAATCTTTACTGCAGTGTAAAAATTTTGTGAATAGTTTGGACAGTCTGATAATTCATTCTGAAAGAAAGTTGATTAAAATCTGCTTTTTTCTGGATGTTCACAATATTCTAATTTCGAAATCTTTAAACTTTAAAAAAAAAAAAACTCAGTAATCATATCTTGGATTAATTTAGTGATAATACAAAAAATGAAACGTGAGGTCACTTTTCTGTCTCTCACCTGTCTTTTTTTGCTCATATATACAGTAGCGTCCAAAACTAAGGGACAAAATTTTAAAACCTAATATTTGTTAGAAATAACAACTGTGAAAAGCTGAAATTTTGACAACTGGTAGTTGTTATCATTCATAATAACATACTAAAATTTGAATTATTTGCAAAGGATAGAAAAAGAATTATAACATTTATTTATTTTCAAATTTGGAACGTCCAAAAGTAAGGGACAAAATTGAGAAAAACAATGTAAACGGCAAAAAAACAATAAAAATACATGCACAATCAATATTTAGTAAATGAGCCATTGCTCTCAATGACAGCTGCACATCTTCGACTACAAGAACGAATCAGTTCTTGACAATCCTCGATACTAATTTTAGACCATTCTTCTTGAAGCTTCACCCACAAATCCTCCATGTTAGTGGGATTTCTTTCCATAACTTTCCTCCTAAGGTCTTCCAAAGATTTTCTATTGGATTTAAGTCAGGACTTTCTATGTGGCCAATCCATAATTTCCAAATCTTGCTAAGCTAAGGTAACTCATTACCAAATTTGCCTTGTGATATGAGGCATTATCTTGCATAAAGGTAGCCCTATCGAAACCTGAATTCTGTATGATTGGCACAACATGATCTTGAACAATGTTTTTATAGATCTGCACGTTTACATGACTTTGTAACCGGACAAGATGCGTTGTACCTTGGCTAGAAAACATTCCAAATACCATGACGCTTCCGCCCCCAAACTTGACAGGTTTCTTAGTACACTTTACACTTAATCTTTCACCAATACGTCTCTTTACATTGTTTTTTCCATCATTTCCAAATAAATTAAACTTGCTTTCATCACTGAAAAATACTTTTGCCCAATTTTCATATGTCCAAATTACATACCTGTTTGCAAACTCTAATCTCTTCTTCTTATTCTTCGGACTAACAAGTGGTTTCTTCCCTGGGGTTCGATTAAACAGCCTTATTTCTTGCAGTCGTCTAAAAACAGTCTGTCTTGACACATTAACACATGAGGTACTATTCATAACCCTTTTAATTTCTGTGCAAGACTTAAAACGGTCCTTTAATGACATACGCTGCATTATTCGATCTTCTCTTGCGAAGTTTTATGGGGTCTGCCGGTTTTAAAAGCACTAACTATTTTGCCAGTATCATTGTAGGATTTAACAACCCTGCCTACAACACTCTTGGAACGTTTCACTTTCTCTGAAATCTCTCTAATGGTGTGCTTTTCCTTGTGTAGCTTCACAATAGCTTGTCTCACAGAGTAATCAAGTTTTTGGCGTTTAAGCCATGGTGCCGGCTGATGCAACGTTTACAAATGACTAAGTAAGACTTATTCTTTAGAGGAAATCAAAAAATTTGAATATAGCATACTGTTTACATTGTTTTTCTCAATTTTGTCCCTTACTTTTGGACGATCCTATTTTCAAAATAAATAAATAATTGTTATAATTCTTTTTCTATCCTTTGCAAATGATTCAAATTTTAGTATGTTATTATGGATGATAACAACTACCAGTTGTCAAAATTTCAGCTTTACACAGTTTATTTCTAACAAATATTAGGTTTTAAAATTTTGTCCCTTAGTTTTGGACGCTACTGTATATATTGAACAGAGTAGGAAAATTTATTTTTGCAAAATTTTAATTTCTTCAGAAACTTTATCAAAGGCAAACGAAAGTAACAAAAATTGTTGCAAAAATGTTTTCCTATTTTGTCATTTCAATTTATATTTCAGATATATTCATTTATATTTCAATTTTCTTGTGTGTGTATTAAAATTTTATGGAAAGATGTACTGAAAAAATGTGTTGTAATGATTAATAGTAGTTTATGATATGTCTTACAAAATTAATTACGTTTTATGACCCCCAAATTTATCACCTACATTATTTTCTCTCCTGTTCACTAACACACTTGATTTAGAGTTACCATTTTCTAAATGAATCCCCCCTGCCCTGGATTGCCAACAAGGAGTGTGTATGTTTTTCTGGACTCTAACCAACAATTGCATTCAAAATGTCTTTCACATATCCATTCTGTTTTTAATTGAAGATTTTGTACTGAATCTTTTATATATTTTGGAAATATATATTGAATGTCTTGTATGTATACCAATTTGTACATGTAATATAAGGAACTCTTGTATATACTATTTTTTTGTGTTTAGTTTTTAAAAAAAAAGAGTCTGTCCTCACAGTTTCATACTTGGCACTATTCAGTTTCATTTTTATATTCACTGTACCAAGTTAGTATAGTTTGTACAAAAATTTCTATTTTGCTCAATGTAATTTAGTTTGCTCTTTTCTGCATTTCCCACTACTGGAGGAAATAAAAATGCAATGTCTTGGCAATGAAAAGAATATGAATAATTTATATTTCATGTTATAAATTTGATGAAAAAACCTTCAGAATCATACACTGTTAAAGGATTGAAAATGTTTTGATATATTTTACTATTTATAGTAAAAGTTACAATTAAATATTGTTAAATGGGACAAAAAACAAATCATACCTATATCCATATATTTTCATTGAGTGGCACGAATACAGCAGTTGCACACAAAGAATAAATTAAAAAAATTTGAAAAAAAACAACTCTAGATTTTGACATGAAAATGTTACTTAATCTTATTGGCCAAGTAAAAGGGAGGCAATTTCGATACACTCAAAGAACAATTACTTCCTTTTTTTGGAGTTTGCTGCCCTTTTTTGTGCCAACTAAGTGTGTATGTCATTGTTCCCGCTTCCTTCCTGTGTCATTCACCAATCATT